ATCGACTGATTTACAGTCAAAGGTTTTACCGACAATCGTACCAACCCTAAAGATATTTCCCACATCTAAATCCATCAAATTTATAACTTAATTGATGTACGTAATTTGGGATGTTCAAATTCACGTAAACTACAATTTGTTGACATGTTGTCGACAACAAACCCAACTAATAGTTATGTTTACTCTTTCCAAACTAAACTGTTTTGCGCACGTTTGTGATGTCCCAGATCAAGTAAAATAAAAAGATAAGCGTTTAGGTTTCCCTGAGTGTCAAAATACATTGCTGAACAACAATGTAATTTCAGGTGACGTAAAGGTTTTGGGGAAAGGCTTGATTATTTTTGTTTTTAACTGATAAATTTAGGAAACTGCCTATTCATTCATGGCACACTTAAAACGGTTGCGATTAGCAAACGGTCTGATTTGACGTACGGTATCTTCAAACACTTAACCCTATGAACAACAAACTATCTGGATAGTTAATTTTCGAAAACAAATAATTAAAATTCCTGTTGAATTTGGGGAGTCTTAGGTCTTTCCAAATTAATTTAAATACTTTAAAAGGGAAGGGACATTTTGAAGGAAATTACATATTATCTTTCGGTGGCATTTTAAGAAGTTGAAAACGTAAATTATGATATTTTAAGCATGGATACCATGAGGTATTTTGTTACTAAGACCATAGACTAACCAAAACAAGTAGATTTCCCATTGTAAATTTTGAAGTTCGTTTTCGTGTCTAGTTCATTTTCGGTGACACTGATCGCTGGTGTTGACAAAATTTTGTTTGTATTATTTCAGGGTTAATTTCATGATTTTGTGATTTACTGTTTGGTTATATAACTAGGGGACAAGTTATTGTTTATGATAAGATTATTTTATTTAGCCAAACGAGGTTTAAAATTACTAAAATGACAAGAAACAAATTGTAAACAAAAACGATCTCAACAGTGCGACGTACATATTAACAATACAATTGGTTTCAGCTGTTCCATAAGTATTAAACCACATTTAAAATATTCAATGTGCGCCAGCTGTAACATTTGTGATTATGTAGGATTGTTAGTTCACTTTCTTGAGTTAAACTTTTTTACCATTGAAAAGATTTTTACCGTTAAAGATTTTTATCATTGATTTTCTATTTTTTACGAATACACATTTATTTATTAGATTTGGTTCTGCCACTCAGTTTATCGCAAATACACAATGTATTTTCATGAAACAAACAATAATTACGATTGAGATTCACCTCTATAATACATGGTAAGTGTATAACTGTTTTACAGTTTATTTTAAGACCTACATTATTATCTTCTGCACTTTCACCATAACAGGAATTAGATTGTGTAAACTCTCTGTATTTTTGATCTTATGACTTTTAGTGGTGTCATTTCTCCAATGAAAACAAATTATAGCTTGGAAGAACTATCTTCTTTGTTTTCTAGAACCTAGAGTCCAGGGAGTATTCATTGACTAATTACTCATTACTAAATTAGTAACTTACTAATTTAGTTAGTAAAATCAACTCATTATATGTAGCATGATTTAAAACAAAAAAATCTGGACAAAAGCCATGCTAGTCAATTTAAGGATGAAAAATAAACTACTGAGTTTATTATGTTCAACACCCTAAGATAAATATAGCTTGCATACTGAAAATAACTGAGAAATTATCTTAAAAGAACATTAAATTTCAGTCCCCGAAGATAACCCCTTTCGAAATTGAATTTGGCATGCAAGATTGCAAAAATAAACCGATTCCTTAAGCTTAAACATGCTACGGTAAGGGACAAATTAATGTTTTGTCCTCATCGTTGGAGCTTTGAAGTATAAACCGATATTTTATTTGACACCCTTGCAGGTCTAACTTATAAATTAGTTTTATAAAATTTACAAACGATCATCTGTAAAACCCCCTATGTAAGATTATTGTCGTTGTTAACTAAAGCTATTATTTTCTATTGAAGACAATTAATCTACTTTAGCTCTGAAATCGGGAAATAATTTTAAATACATTGTATTTACGTTTGTAGCGTTTAAAAAAGTTAAGTACACAAAAAGTCGAAATTCACTCATACCATAAAGACATAGAATTCCGTTGGAAAAGCCAACGAAAGGAGATAAAGAGACAACTTAGAATAAAATAAATACACGGCTACGATAAATAGAAAAATCTACTAACCTACCAAAATCCTATACATTAATAGGCATGTTTCTTGAAAACCTTTTTTCCCAGCTCGTGTGCATCCCAGAAAAAATTGACGCATACTGTTAGAAATATATTTTCCTGTAGATGTGCAGAATACCTTTAAACATTAAATTAGGCTCAAAATAAGCACAACCAATTAATTTAAAACAAAAAAAATAAATAACATGGGTCTTATGGGTTGCCATGTTGGTGACGAAACAACGAAATATATACTGAAAATCAAAACAAATGGAAGAAATTTCAATCACATGTCTATAGCGTGGAGTTAAAATAAAAAAGTCAAATTTTTTGCTGAGTTTTCGACCACTGAGTGTTTTTAAATGCATAACCAACTTTGGTAAATCAAATTAAATCAATACCTCAAGTTTATGGACGAATCCCTCTGACTGTTGACTCACGCAGTTGACAGTGGTTGAGAATCAAAGTTGACAGGAATAGTTGACACTTGACAGGCCAAGTTGACGTTGACACTATGTTTGCCCCCGACTGTACCGCCTCAAACGTCCCCCACATTAATGTCCAACACCCAACGACTATAAACACATGGTCCTAGTGCGATAATGAGTTGTTTGTCCAATCTTTCGGAAATTATCCTCCCGAAGCAAATACATCTAAATAGGGTTTCCTGGATTAGGACGAAATGCGGAAGTTCCAGTCTGCAGGTCCAAAAGTGGAAAAAAGGTTGATGATTTCCACTATTAGAAATTACGGTTTTATTTTGTCACTTGAAGAAAATACTCTTTTAACGAATTTCCCAGAGAATAAGGTATTTGTAGGTATAATTGTAAAACCTGGAACCGAGACCGATTTACTTTTTCGTTTTGATGACTCCAGAGGCCGAAAATGCAATCCGTTCAAATATTTGATCGGACTGTGGAAACGAGGGTTTGTGGGGTGAAAATTGCTTTATCCCCATTTTGATCCACAAAACATAAAATTTTCCAATTTCTCTCTAAACCAACTTTTAGAGCCTAAAAACAAATAATTTAATATAGCCTATTGGAGGATTCCAAAAAAAGGAAATTTAAATTTCCCATGTTATTATGGAAACAAATAACACAATTTGCATTGCACTATAAGTTGTTAAAGGTCGTGTCGGGGTATACGCCGTTTTAGGAATTTATTTTATTCTAAAGAACCTTTTATTCTTTCCCAGCACGAGATTGAAACTGCGTTCACGTTTTTGGATTGAAGAAAAACCTTGATCACCTTCCGATCACCCTAAGCTGACTACTTTTTCCGTCTGAATCTGATTGAAAAAGTACGAAAATATATGCAAAAATCGACCTTGGTCGAGAAAAGTTGACTCGAATTGAATATCTACTCCCTTTTCCAAATAATGGAATCAATCTGAAGTCGGGACTTTCAAATTCTGTGATTTTATCACTACTTGGCTCTAACCTTACCTAATCAAGGATCAGTTAAAAAATAACGCATAAAATTATTCCGAAAGATTATTTTATTATGTTTGTCACACAGAGTAGTATGTTACACGTACTTAAAACACCCTCTTTTAACCATTGTTGCTCATGAGGAGCTATGAAAATTAAAAAAATTGTTACTGAAGCAATTAATTTTAACCTGCGAAGATGAGGTTTCGTGTTTTTGAAGACCAGATGAAGGGCTCATATAATCCCACTCCCGAAATGTATGCATACTATTTGTACTAAAAACAGGGATTGATTGGGCCAAATTTATGTAACCTTGATTACTTTTATAATTCAGCAATTCTGGAGGCTACAAAATGAGTAAAAAAAAAAATACAAATTAAATTCCTGCCAAGAGTTAACACTATACATAATATTCTAAATAGTCAAACCTATAAGCACAGCAGTCAGAAAAGTCAAACAATCTTCTAAAGAACTTCGTGTTTAGGGAGTTTAAACTTTTTGTGGACTTTTCGTTCCCCTTTCAAGACTTATACCCACTGATAGTTATTTATCTTGCTATTTAATTAAGAGCGTCATTTTGTTTATGAATTCAGTACAGTATATCCACTCAATACACGTTGTACAGTGGTTTAATTTTATAAAAACGTAACCAAAATTACTAGTAGACATGCGCACTGTTAAGGTGCAAAACAAGCTAATAATTTGGCAGCCCTGTTTCTTTTTATTACCGATCAGCTGATATACATTGTTGTCTACATGGTTGACAACAACATGGTTTACTACAGCTGTTTGTGGAAGTGGAACAGCTTAAAGTTCTGAAGTAAATCCAATACAGTATAATGTAGGATTTCTATGTATCTATGTACTTGTATGTGTTCTATGTATGTTTTAAATAGTAAAACACTAAACTAGAAATACCGGTATTTATGTTTTTACGTGCTTTAAATTTTAAAAAAACCATATCAAAAAAATTGAATAATTATATTACAAATTTTAACTATCGCACTGTTTACAAATATAAGATATTTTAACTCAAAATAATTAATCAAGTCTCTCCTTACCAAATCCTGTTCTACTACCGTAAAAAAATATTACATTAATAATAATTAGCGAAAATCGTTCATGTTTCTTAGATAGCAATATTTTTATTGTTCGAATTGCTATTACCCATCAGGATTTTTTACTTGTAGAAAATTTATAAGTTTATTACATTTTTAAACTATTTAAGTCTTCGTTTTTTAAAAGAATGTTTAATGTAGTCGAAATAAAAATACAGTACAAATTATATAGCCTCAAAAGAACTGTGCCTAATTAAAATATATATTTTACCTGTATGCGATAGCCAAATTATCGATGCAAATTAATAAAAATATATATATATTTAAAATAACTAAACTCACGTGTTAGTGACAGGTGTAAGGGAGAGAGGTATATTCTTCTTCTCTTCCTCGCTTCGCACCGACCAGAAGCTGACTGAGTGAAGACAAGCGCTGAAACTGATAGTTTTTTACCCCACCACAAGCCTTGAGATCCTTTAACTACATCTGTGTTTATACCAGCTTCCTCTTCCTAATTTCTGTATCACATTGGCCCATTAGGATGCAGTAGTTCCGTTTATTTGGCCACTTTAGGATTTTAGGACTTTTTTCCAGAGTTGCTTTAATTGGTGTTGCTTGTATTGTAGGTTTGCCTGTAGAAGCAAAATATACCGACGCAAATCTGTAGACTGAGTGAATGGTTGGATCTTCACTACAATATTCCCTTAATTGCCAGATTTATTTTCCATTAAAAGCCATTATTAATTGTAACTAGCTGTTACCCACGGGCTTCACCCCGTTTGACTTCATAAGGTATTGATAAAACTATTGATTGGTTAAGTTAAGATGAAATAAACAAAACAGAATACAGAAATACAAACGAATAATCACACGATTTCAATAAGGTAATACATGGAAAGAATAACAAAAAATAAGTACAGCTGAGGTATTTTTAGCCTTAGGTATATGGAAAGGAATTACGAACTTAAGGGCAATTTATGAAATAATGGATAGTTTTGCGCAAGGTTTGTCGTCATGACGAACATTTTAAGTATGTGATTTCCGGGTTTATGGGGGTGTGACTTGTAGTTTTCTCAAAAGTTCATGGGTACTTTGGGATTTATATATGGACTAGCTGTGTCGTTCTACGGACGGGATCATGTAGTCAGTTGAAACCTTCTTATAATTAGAACAGCAGTTGGTTTGCATATTTAGAGTGCATTTTTTCAGATATGCATGAAAAGCTCCGTATACAGCAATGTTTCAGGGTCTTTTTTCCCGGTTATCAAAACTCAAGTACAATTTGACACACACACACACAGAGAATCTCCGGTTAACGACCTGAATGATGGCTAGAAATGCTATTTAATTTACAGTTACACATTATTGCCCTTAATTAAATCCGTTATGTATGGCACAACGTTTTTAATCTCACTTGGTTTTGGATTTTCTTACAAAATGTGGTCGCAAATGTTTGCAGTATTTGTAAACAACATTTAATTGTAAACATATCCAGTGACAGCTAGAAAAAATAATCTTTATCCCAACAGCTGTTCGTTATTTCATAGATGTTGTATTCTCCAAACAGATTATTAGTATTTCATAAACAATGACGTATGTGGTAAGCATTGGGAGAACAACAGGTCGATGGATAGTATAAAGACCAGGATTTGGACCGTTTTCTTACAAAAAGTTAATAAAGATTTAATAAACACCACTTGCATAAATATACACAATAAAACACCCTCTCAGTTTGCTTATGTGAAGTATTTGGTGAAACATCAAATATTGGCCCCAAGGTCAACATCTTCCTTTTTATTGGATGCAAAAACTTACTGGGTTACACCAATATGGCGGAAGTTTTCGAACCTGAAGTTTGTCTAGAGTGTCCATGACAATGACACCTAAAGAAGTAATCCAATAGCCATATAGTCTGTATGATAGAACCAGTCCCCTGACCTGGGGTTGGATAAAGGGTTAAGGCCCGGGCCAGTCCCAGGTAGACGGAGGGTCCGGAGACAGGTTCCTTCATACAGACTATAGCTGCAATGTCTTCGTCAACTTTGTTTATTTTAACTAGTTATCATGTACGGTCCACTATGCACATTTTAGCTATTTGTATAACTAGTGTGCAAACTGACACTGTACTGCATTTTAATAGTTTAGTTAGTAGTATTTTGTTGATTTGAGTAATAATGATGCTTTTGCCCACGAAATGTGCAATGGATTTGTCCTATACTTACCGTACCTTAAAAATGGAAGTACCGGTACACTATCGGAATAATAGGCCTAAATTTAATTGCAGTTGTATTACCGAAAGTGGCATTTTCTGGTGCGCGCTCTTGTGTGAGGCAAAGCCGAACAAAACACCAAATTTCACGTGCGAGGCGAACCCGAGGAAAATCAGTTTTCTTAAACATTAATACCTCAGCTCGTGTGCATCGTAGGGAAAATCTACGCATACTGGTAGAAAGATATTTTCCTGTAGATGTGCAGAATCCCTTTCTTTAGGGTGTAGTTGTGTTGACTGGTACCTACTGTGCATTATGAATAGTGGTGATAGGGTATAGTGTGGCGAAAAATAGCGTTCGTACCACGGACCGAAATGGTTTTGCAGCTCTTGATCGTTTTAAGTACTCGACTTCGACGACTTCCTCTCGAACTTAAAAACTATCTCGAGCCAGCAAACTCTCATTTTCGGCCCTAGGTACGAAATATACTATTGTTCTCGATTGATTGATGACCGACCGTTGTTGTAAAATCTAAAATATTATCTATACTTATTTACCATATTATAAATGTTTACAATGTTCCCTACAGCGTTTAAAGTACAATTTTAGGTATTCAAAAGTACTAGAAGGCGAATTTTATTAGCCTATATTCGTTAAAATAGGTTACATTACAAGTCAAATTAATATTTTACATTATCAGTTACATTGTTGTTTTTAAAACACCCGGCAACAATGAACGCGAACAGTGCAACAGCTGATCTATTAATAATTTTAAGTCAGTGTTGCAGACTTGATTTCACAAGAACGTACTACCTAAGGCATTTCAGTGTTTACTTTTGTGTTGTTTGGTTGAATTCTGAAGTGTAGCAGAGTACTACCATGGTATGGGCAAAAAAACGAATGTGCATTTTATAGAGTGCAAGAACCAACTGCTGAGTGTTGATCAGTTCAAATATATCTGATTAAGTTCAGTATTACAGTACTGTATCCCCATTCCCTTTCTGTAGGTCACTATTAGTAGGCCCAGCCATTAATCTAATTGTTGTGTTTAAGTACTTAGTGTACATAGACACATCTATCTAAGATCTGTTTGCATGTTAAAGTCAATCAGTTATGTGGTGAACCATTTGTGGCAAATGCATAATGTATTATTGGCTTTGAATAACAACAATCAATATAATGTTCCTAATAAGTAAACAGGTAATGTGGATGGATTAAGGTCTTTAAATTTTTAAATGGCTTGGCTTTAAGTGGGGAAACCACTTCAAGTATGATGCAGTTTCCATATTTTTGATACTCATACCATAGCTAAAACAGTTGAAACCAGCTCTTATAGATTTACTAATCTTTAATACCAGATGAAGATAACCAATTCTTATGTTTTTTTACTTCAACCCTCTATAAGAAAATTCATGGTACATGGACAAAGTATTCTTTCCATCAAAACTTTTGAGTTTGCGTTTTGGGTGGAACTATTTGTTTTGGATCCCCCCTGAATTAAAAAATTGTTTTCAAAGTGATGCCTGTGTGTGTATGTATGTGTGGATATGTACAGAGCTACAGACTACTCCTATTGGTATGTGGGTACAAATCTATAATATCTCCAGGAAAATTAGATTTTTTATGGTGATTTGCCCATAAAACTCATAAAATAACAAAAAATTATATGTTAGGGTTCTTTTAGATCCAACTAATTGGTACAACGCTGTAAAAAGTTTGCTGTTTCAAATTTTTGTTTTCACCTTTGGTGATTTCCCCAGAAAATATAGTTACTCTTACCCTTGCCCAAGATAAGGATTGTTGATAAGCTATTGTGAAATGTATTGATGATGATGATACCTTATAAGCAGGACTACAGCAGATTTAGGTTTTCATTTTTCTCTGAAAAGTAAACTACTGTTGAAATATTTTAAAGTAGGCTAAGACTTTACAATGTTTACTTAGAAATCTTTTTTCTAAAATATTTATATGTGTGATCAGTTGTTTAAAAATAATTTGTTACAAAGTAGTTAAATTCCTAGGCTAAAAACGTGTCTATTATTAATAAATGTATCTTTATATCACAGTAATTCTAATGAAGTAAAACTTTTATGAATAGAAGACGCAAGTAGATTAACATGAACTAGGTAGATAATAACTACAAAGATGCAAAGCTGGTACAACGACAAAGATACACATTTTATTAATGATTGATAAAATAGTATATATACAAACAAAACAAATATACACATAACATTATTAATAATTTGTACATTTTATTATTAGATTAACAAATTACACATAAGCTAAGTATACTTCAATTACATAGTTGTGTTCTGTACAGGTAGAGCAATGTTATTTCCGTTGATAGTTTTGCAGCACACATCAATTCCTTCACACTTTTCTGTTGTCCTGAAAATAATAGTATAATTACCTTACATTGCTAATAGTAATATATATGAGGACGCCACCTAGGTGCGTATTTAACCCAAATGTGAGTGAACAGTGTTGCGTATGATTCTGAAAATTTATTTTTTGTAATTTTCCGGTCAATTTTTGCTGGTATATAATCCCTTTCAAAAAAACCTAATTCCGCCCAAAAAAATCATGCCTCCTCTTCTGGGCACCCCTTAGTGAAGGATGATGTGAGATGCCTTTTGTAGCTTTGTTACTGACTAGGATCAGCTGTTTCATTGTTTAGAATCATTTATTAAATTATCAAGGACAGCTGGGTCCAGTTTCGAACCATCAAAAAGCTACTAACTTTTCTCAGAATTGAACCGACGACCTTTTGATTGTAAGGCGGGCACTGTAATCACTCAGCTACCCAGCTATATGTCTTATTAGTTGTAAGTACAAATGCATGAGTTTATCTTCATTAAAAGACACCATATTGTCCTTTATATTTGAAGTTTAGCTCTTTAAGACACAAAGGCAAATTCAAATCAGACGTCATAAGTAAAATATCAAGCATTGCTTTGATAACCTATCAAATATTAACGACAACTTTACCTGACACCTGCTGCAATCTGGAATACTACACTGCAATTGTAAAACTACCCAATACGGTTTTCTGTTTATCAATGATGATAGTGCTGTTGGATTGACCACTGGCTAAACGGTATAAGTTTAGTATAGTCTCCTCAGACATGAGATGCTCATCGATTGAGCGTTAAATTAGATTTAATAGATTTATACCACGAGAGGTGACTACGTGAAGACAATGTTAAAATGTTGCCGCGATTGTAGGAGATGTCTGTATAGGGCCACGAACACAGATTGTTGTCATGACGACATTATGACCATTGAGATAGATGACTAAAATCATTTAGTTGTCCCCTTAATTCAGTATGTATTGGGAAACGGATGTTCCTACAATTAGTATTATCAGTAAGCTGTTTTTTACGGCTAAAGTAAATTGTTGAAATTTTTTTGGTGTGGGAAGGTTTGGCTAAGTTATGGGGAGGAGTGATAAAAGGATCAGAGAATTAAATGGAGATTAGCACTCCCAACCTTAAGGAATGGGCACCTCTGCAACACCATTGCAGACTTTGTACCTGACTTGAGTTGTTTTGAAAAGCAGTGTATTTTTGTACTGAAAACCGCTTCAAATAAAAGACGTTTCTATTCTATTCTCTAAAATAGGGTAGTACTTGACACACTAAACTTAGCTTTCATATGGACTTAAATAACGTGTTGTTTTTACCTCACTGCTATTATTATTGGAACTGTTTTTCGCAGGAGTTGAGATATTGAGAAGATTGTTTACTGGTTTCATTACCTCTAGTTCGCAACAAATCTCGTATTCATTTTCACACTGGTCGTTTGGAAACCTAGAATAAGTAACATATTTTTAGCAATTTTCAACTTCTTTTGCAAAATTAGGAGGGTTATCATAGTAGTTTCATAAGTGATGAAGTACATATTTTTAATTATAACTACCGGTAATTGTATTGAGTTTTCTGCTTGAAAACTACAGTTGATGTTTTTACCTTTCAAGAAAATGTATGGTCTCAAACAATATAGGGCCTAAAAAAAGGTCCTGAGGTCCCGGATTCAAATCCCACCAATTACAAATGGACTTGAATTCCCCTTTTGGCCGCCCCTGTCTAATAGAAACAGGGCTGGGGTGCGCAAAAGGGGTATTCTGGGACCACTACGGCATGCGATTTCTAGTAATCTATCGTCCGAAATGAGGATTGGATAATATGGAGGCTCGGATAGGCAAAGGTTGATTTATCCAGACTCAACTGGTTTACATGACTTACTTAATGTCTCCAGTTCCTTCTCGTATCTCAGCTTCTTTGATCTGTTCATTGCTGCAAAGATAGTACGGAACACAGTTACAGTCTTCATCAACTTGACTGCCTGAGTAAGGTGTCGTAGATGGATTGTCGGTTTCAAGTTGTGAAACACTTCCAGGTTGATAAGTTACGGGCCGAACTTCATAACAGAGACCTGCTGCCACGAAGCTTAGCACTACAAAGTTGATTGAGTACATCGTGCAAAGGATGTTGATCTGTAAAAAATTATTGTATACCTAATGTATAAATATTCTAAGAATGGTTCTAGAAGTTGATGAGGATGATTTGAACCTGGGCTCAGTTGTGCTTGGCCTTTAGTGAATTGTCTAGACTAAAATAATTGCTGATCTTAGTTTCTGAAAAAACTACACAAGGCATGTTGATGTCACTCCATTATACATTTGACAATTTTATAGACATACCCTTGCTAGAGTTGTATCCAGTTTTACAATGAAATGGAAGTACAGTTGCTGAATTTACCTACCAACAGATAGAGCAGATGCAAATAACTGATTGATGTTGAATTTGCTAACTTTCTATTTTCTAAATTATCGAACCATTTATTAAAAGTCCAATTTTCAAAGACAGCTGATCTACTTTCAAACCATCAATACTACTGACCAAAATCGTACAGGCAAACTTCAAATAATTATTTGGCTAGTATTAATCATTTTCAATGTTGACCTTGTTTGTTGTTTCAGTGCCTTTTATTTGTGAAGATGCTACTACAAAATATTTAAATGCTAGCACTAACAAAAGGACAAATTTATGGCACATGCCCTTTTAAATCTGTATAATTTTTAATGATCCTGAATATTTTCCAATTATCAACGCTTTTTACTTGTAAAGTTACCAAAGATGATTTTAGAATATTAACCGCTATAAGATGCTAAATTTGTAATATTTTGTGTCTAAGGCTTCTCGTAAGAGCCTACATTTGGTTCACTTTCACTAACTAATTATATGTGTGGTAGGAGAGGGAGTATGTAATATATTATATAGTTTTAGGTCTCTGATTCTTATTCTAATATGGTAAAAAAAACATTTTAAACCTTGCCATACACATATCCTGTACATCCATACCTTTTAATGACAACTATTCAAAATACTGTATTACTTAATAAGACATGGCTGTGCTTTTGATTCTAGGTTAAAATGTCTTCTAACCTTGACCTTGTAAATTAATTAATGATTAATTTTAATCAGTGATAAACAAACTGATATAGCATAAGAAAAACAACGTGGAATGGGCGTTTTAAACTATGTATAAACAGTAATTGGTGAAGCCTAAAGTTATCAATGCTGAGAACAGGTCCACATTGGTATTTGTCTACTCCTTATTTTACTAACTTACAATATTAAAGAAACACAATTTTGAACTAATGGTGAAACTTGGAGACATTGAATCTGATTGTAGTGTTATTGTCTTATGACCTTTCCACTGATAGGGGAATACACTGTAATTATAAGCATTTAAAAAGTAAGCATTGCACTATCCAAAATAAATTTTGTTATGTTTTAATAACTAAAATATATATGAAACATAATTTTCCGGGAGAATTTAACAATTTCACCAAAGTACTTAATAAATTTCAAGTCATAACCAATAATACGAGTATTACCAGGGTAGAAAAGTTACTTAAAAAGCAAGAGTACAAACCTTTCTTTGAGAGTTGTTACGCTGTGCCAATTCACTCACTTTCTGACTAGAACATGTGTGTTGATGCTACAAAACAAACTTTGACTTCTTGTTACGCTAATCAGAGCTGTGAGGAAAGTCCAAATTTGTAGCTATTTCCTTATCTGCAAATTCATCAGTTGTCTGTTTTCCTTATAATCTAGTTGTTTTACTGAATTATGAATTTGTCAATACGTAAATGAAATAACCTTTCAGAGATTTGATTTTGCTTACAAAAATTAAGTTTTCGGTGATAATTATCATCACATATCCACATTTACAAGCATTTCATACACAATGGAACTTTGCTAACAGCTTAATTTCTGCTCTACACAATTTTAAACTGAATCATCATAGTCATAATTTAAAATCAAATTGCAACTCTAAAATTTAAATGACTACTGGAATGCTTAAAACTACCAGCGATGATTAAAGTGTTCTTCTTAAAAAGATTTTTATAAAATATTTTGTTTTATTTATTTGTTTTTTTTGTTACACATTATTATGGTAGCTCAGTCAAAATTTAATCTCTCATACTGCCTAAGACCAATTTCAGTAAGTATACATGATTCTCAATCAAATGTGAGAAGTTTAAAAAGACAATCAAAGTCAGGAAGAAAAACAACACGAGCTCTTTTACATTTTGTATTAAAACAATTGAACAGTGTTGGTCTTAAAATGTAATATATACAACTATAAATCTAAAACATTAAAAACATTTACACCATCTCGTCCAACCTTTTAGCAATACAACCTAAAACTAACCTACGTGTTTCCTCTGAGCACTTTTTGAACTCTTCGATTGCACTTAAATCTTTTTCAATCTTCTCCAACGTCTTGGAAACTAATACATTCTCAGAACTTTTGAACTTTTTACTCGGATTGAGTTCTACACTATCTTTCTCAATATCGGAATTATTAATTCTACACTTATGAACAAAAGGAAATTTTATACTATTAAGAAACTTGAGAAGATCAGTATCAGACTTTACGATCGGAATACCCTCTAAATACTGGGCAATGATGTTTTGCAGCTTTACGTCTTTGGCCACAGTCAAAGCGACTATTTCTTCATGTTTGGTTACATGGGCGAAATAGGAAAATGTTTCTAAAGTTAATTGTTTCACTAACGGGTTACCGTCCAACAACAACTTGACAAATAGAGATGATATTTCGTTGTAAACGAGATTCTCGTTGGAATCACTGGGGAGGAGTTTGCTGGCGAGGCTTCTCAAAAATGTGCAGGAACCACACTTGTAAATGGTGGATGACGAACAAAGGTCGTCCAAAACATTGAGGATCTGGAAAAAATAAAAGTTAGATAAAACGTATACTACGGTAAACAAAAATAATTGGTTATGATTTTGTTTGAGGGATTAAAATTACCTTATCTTCATTGGAGTCTAACACAGTTTGTGTAGTAGAACCCCTTTGTATCCGGCCACCACGGGACCAAGCCCTAACTGGCTTGATAACTGATTGGCCGGACAAACCGACCTATTAAAAAGACAATAATTCATACCTACCGAATAACAAACTGTAATCAATAATGTGGACTAAAGTAGTATCTCTTTTGGGTTTTTTTTTTTAATACATGTGTTTTGTAGTAAGTTTTAATTTTTTAATACTGGAATCTAAAAAAAACTTACATTCACAATCTGAGAGTTATCAAGACTGACTACGACGTGATATGAGATGGAAACCAACAGAGTAAAGAGAGAAGAGAACCAATCGGATGTCTCAGAACTCTCGAGATCTTCTGGAAACATCATGTGACTCCACATCTGGCAGATAGGCTGAGCTAGTGTAACTCCAACATCAGGATACAAGTCTATGTGGTCTCTTAGAGTGGTCAAATTGTTCGTCTGAAACAAGTCAAGTGAAGAAATGTGATTTGTGTATTATTTATAGTAGGTGTTAGACACCAAAATTTGCATAAACTAAATTCTTTACGTTTTTGTAATTTTTAATATAAAATGTTAAGTTTCCCCACGGAAGAGTAGGATAAAGCCTTAAATAAAAATAAAAAAGGGGGAAATTAAACTCACCAATGCATTATACAGCTGGATAGATTCATTACTAAACGGTTTGTTCAGCAGGTTGTTCAAGTCAGATGCAACCTCAGTCACGTCTGGCAGCTGCGACGAGAAGCTTTTACGATCATCTTCAGCAAGAAACTGAGTGAGACGACTCGTTGTCCAGCTGACGTAACACCACTCGGGCCGACATCTGTCCCAGGTTGGCCAACATGAGCACAAATCTCTCAACAGTGATACCAACTGGAGGCATAACTTGTCTGAACCTACCCTGCAAACAAACAGAATTTAAAAAATGGGACGAGTTAAAAATCACACCTTGGTATTTATTGGTTTTAAAAATCTTTAAAAAATTTGATCTAAAACCAGATTAAGATTGAGCTAATTCATAAGAAGAACATAAAATTAGTAGGCTATGTAAGGTTTTAAACTATTTATATGTTAGACAGTGTGTTTTACTGTTTTAAAACCAAAAAGTTGGATGTGCACTAAAATATTGGTAGGCCTAACAGATTTCATAATTGATATTCATTTTAACATTTTCTGGCCATTTACTTGGTGTGATACTTTTTTGTGTTATCCATACCAATAACGTTTTTTAATGTTTTTAAAGGGAACGGTCCAAACCCTGCTCTTGTTACAATTATCTAATAATTCATTGATCGCAGCTTGTAAAGTAAGCTTTCTTAGCAATCTGTGTTAGTTAACTCTTTGATAACATAGAGACTATCTTAATCAGTTTAGGTTGCTGTCTTTTGCACTGCTGCTCTCATAAATTTATGGTTGTTCCCGTCACTCGAATTGCTAGGGGTACGGGCCAACGTAAAACAATCAAATGCTCAAAGGCTAGCAGCACTGGCATGATTTTTTAACGTCCACTGAGGGGTGATATGTAGAGACAAACTTTGAAACTATAATATACACTGTTTTTGTCAACGTGGCTATTACGGTTGGCCAACTGAATGCAAAGAGTTAAATATGAGAGGTCAATACTAACCTCGCGATGAGACATAACAAGTCGGACGTAAAGAAAGCTGGCCACAAGTATGGTTGAAGCAGATGTTTAACCAGCAAAGACTCCAAGTCGGAAAACATGTCGACGGAAGTTGTAGCAATGATGAATGCTGCAGTGTGAGTCAATAGTGTCTGGTACACGTCTTCCTCATACGAGAAAAACACATCTTCACCTGAAAACACATGGTGACTCAATATTTCTATAAGATACCTCCGTCACAGCAAACCTGCAGACTAAGCGAATTCCCATATGCCTGATTGGATTTTCACTAAAAATATTTACTTTAACAGGTCAGATTTAATTCCCTATTTAAATACCACTTGATTTCACGAGTAGTTAGGTTTGCTTTTACAGAGAAGGTAATATATATATATATATATATATTTTTTTTTAATGATCATAACTAACTAGAAAATAAAATGAATTTTGCAAGCTTGATCAAAATACAGTTGAACCTCTATAAGACGAATTTCAAGGGGTATGGGAAACATTCGTACTATAGAGGTATTCTTAATAAAGAGAATACCTCTATAGTTCTATCGAGGTTTAATGCTGCTGTTATTCTTCTTATAGAGGTCACGTTTGTCTTGAAGAGGTTTTGTGCTAAAAATATTCGTTGTATAGAGCATATTATTCCTAGCACATGTCACAAACAAATTTGTCTTATGGAGGTTTTTAACTAAATTACTACGTTGTATAGAGGTGTTTTTAGCATTGACCTATATGATAGTTTCAAGGGGATTAAAAAAAATTTGTCTTATCGAGGAATTGGTTTTATCGAGGTTCGTACAAACGAGGTTCGACTGTATATTGCTTCCGGGTCTAGGTCTTACAATAACTTATGGTAGGCCTAAAAATTAGTTTCTTACAGTATTTTTAAAAATAAACTGTATGACTGGATGATTGTTAAAAATCCCTTTTACAAAATTGATGATTTTTTAAGTTGTGAAATAAATATTAGATTTTGAAGAGTAAGTTGAAATAAAGCTTCTATTTTTATGTAAGTGGCTATTTAAATTTAGATATTTTGTACTGTAAACACTGAATCACCTTGTAACTATGTATAACAATGACGTGTCCTATTTCTTTTATAAAGATCAATGGAAATAAATATTTCTTATTCTTATTCTTATTCTTATTCTTAATAGCTTATTCCCAACATGGGAAATCCACTAAAAAGGAAATATTTTTACTTTTACTTATTTTATTTTACCAGAGGCAAGAACTAGAAATATTATTTTAAGTTACTTTGTTTTGATGTAACTTAAGGTAATTGCATTCCAAAAACCATCACTTAAAAAAATAATGAATCTATAACATTTGTTTGACAAAAACAAGGAAGAATGTGAAATCATTATCGTCTACAAAGCAATTTCACTCCAACTAAATATAAATGTTATAGCTTTTTGGAGGGTGTTACCATAGATAAAACATACTCCCTTAGTAGATTAAATATTGTGTGTGTATTTTGAAAATCAATAAATTGTAGCTGGATAACATAAATATATAAAAAACATACTGAACTGTTTTGTTTATATATTAAAGGAAATATTTTCTTCTATTTTATGTTTACTTCAGAATAAAATGGATTATGAAAATAACACACACAAATGTTCTATATGAATAGGAAAATAATTTAGTTTGATATTATGATAGGGAAAAGAAGCTAGTTTAGTTAAAACGTTACTTATCCAAGTTAGAAACATTAAATGCGTTATAATCTTTTTAAAGATACTCGTTGATACCACTATAATGCCGATCTCTGATTACGGTAATAAAATAACACTTAACGCATAACTATTAAAAAGACATGCAGATTAACACCTTTAGTTATAGATAGTCACCTGCAATATGGACACCCTCTTTCAATTTTGTATCAAAAATCATCATAGAGCCGCGCCGACTTAAAATACGTGAGCTTGCCTAATACAAAAGTTTACTTTATTAAAATTATTTCATTCTTTTTAGAGCGTTTTAAAGTCGGTTGTATTTTTTACAAAAATAAATTATACATTTTAATTTGTTAGTTCTGTACGT